CTGTACAAGGTAGGTGTCTCAAGATGTCCGAATAATTATTTTACATACTGTACATCTAAACCATGATTTTTAACTTTTCGAAGTTTTAGCTACTCAACTAAAACTAGCACTGAAATATATGCATGCGATTAAAATATATAAATAATTATACATTAGTCTTGTTATATCTTCTTTTTTGCTGATATTTTTCGCAGGCATTTGACTGAAAAAATTTTACAAGAGAAATTTTTCAAACAGATAAAGTATTGTAAAATCCGATACATATGAACATGCTCTTTATCATCTTCTATAATATATTGTAATTGATCGAATAATTTGTCAAACGTTTTTTTGAAAATTTTCGAAAGCAAATTTTCTTCACTATGTCGAATTTTCTTTTTCTGAATGTAATTATGCATCAAACACATTTCCGCAAACTGTCTTGTTCAGAACACCCTATATATTGTCAGTTCTTGATGTATAAGCTAATTTAGCATCACTATCTACGGATTCTATATGTTCATCAAATAATTGTATTACAAACCGTATGACCAATATTCCATAGTGTTTTGAGATGACTTAAATTCAATGCAAACTATTTCCAATCTTTTTTATTTTTTCGTAACTGGTGCACGCTTAAAATAAAATTTGTCTTTAATGTTAAAGTTCATAGTTATGAGTACCAGTATTCGATATGGGTTAAATTTTTATGCCCAACTCGACCCAACGTTAACTTTTTTTTTTAATCATGATCTCCTCAAGATGGATCCGCCTACGACACTGATAAATGCATTCCTGTATAATTAAAACAGTCCTTATTCGTTTTTTCACGTTTGACTGCGTCGAAAAATACAAAAATCTACTAGAACAAAGCATGCATACTAATCGTGAGAAAAGGCTATCTTTAAATAAAAAGTTTTTTTTTCAACACCCTTTCATTGAAGAGAAATAGAAGCCGATATTTGTTGGATTACTTTTGCATCACATATTATATACGATAACAATATCAACCTTGTACCTCATGAAAAAGTATTAAAGATACCATTAACAATTTATCCTCAGTTATTGTGCAACAACATAGATGGATTATGATGCAATTGTATAAGTAGAATACAAACACAAGACTAATCTAATAAGGACTCAGGTATGATTCGTTGTTTTCATGTATCTCTCTGATAAGTCAATAGAATCTCAACAAATGATGAGGGTCTACAAGATTACTTTCCTAATCGAAAAAACAACTTTTGATAACGAAATATATAGGGATAGCAAGTCAATTATGAGCACACACTGAACATAGTTATTCGTCTTCATTTGGCATCCAAATTTTTTAGGTCTCTAGTTCTTGTAGTTTTTCGAAAAACAAAATTTGTTTTCGATCTGAATGAAATCTACAGGAATATCTCGTGCGGATGATGTCAAACATGTAAATGATATTGGATCTTTTGTAAACTTGTGTTATAATGATATTTTTAAGAATTATCATCTGTAATCGAAAACAACTATGTTAAAAGTGTTTTCATTTACTTCAGTCTTCATAAGATGTTTTAAATCTTTGTTAAGACATGCAAACTAAGTAATCAAGTATTTTCTATCCTTCAATATATAAATCGTGATATATTCTTCTTGTTATATGAATTATTGGTTCAAGATTTGACGTTACTTTCTCCTAACATGAGCACAGAGAGATACAGTTTATCGCAGTCTACCTGAATACGCCTTTTGATCAAGCTGAAAGTTGTGCTTCGGCATGCTAATAAGTTATAGTGATGAAACAGTAATGTTTTGTAGTGCGTATTACTATTCGTTTCGAATTCTAAAAAGGTTTTCTGTAAGCTAAGGTGACACTGTTTACATATTTTTCAACAAAAAATGTTCGACAAGATATTTGAAATATGTTTGAAAAAATTAAGAAAGTTCTCTGAATTAAGAATTGCACAATTTGCTCAACAATATGAACTAAAAATCAATCTGATGTTCTTGATAAGCACTAATAATTCTTTGTTACTAATAGATTTTTATTCACATAAAATATTGACATGCTTCGCATGAAGCTTGCGGGTGAGAACAGGCAGAAACAGTCTCATAATTAAACACCAGCTTTAATGAAAAAGGAACTTCAATGTGATAGTCCGTTAGTGACTTGAAATTCTTTTATGCTATATTCTCGAAAGAAAGATATTCAGAAAATTTAAAACACTAATTTTTTAGATGTAATTTTCAACCTTTTCATTGTACGCTTTTTAATAGTTTTGAGCAGTTCTCACGTTCAGAAAGCTTTCTTAATTTTTCCAAACATATCTCAATTATCTTATCGAACATTCTTCGTTGAAAGATATGTAAACAGTATCACCTTAGCTTAAACGAAACCTTTTAGAATTCGAAAAGAGTAGTAATACGCACTACAAAACATTACTGTTTCATCACTATCACTTGTTATCATGCGAAAGTATAACTTCTCTGTGTGCTGATTTCAGGAGAAAGTAACATCAAATCGTGGACCAATATTTCACATAACAAGAAGCATATACCACGATTTATACACTGGAAGATAGAAAATACTCGATTACCTAGTTTGCATGTCTTAACAAAGATTTAAAACATCTTATGAAGACTGAGGTAAATGAAAACACCTTTAAAAGTTTTTCTTTCGATTACAGATGATAATTCTTAAAAATATCAGTATAACACAAGTTTACAAAAGATTCAATATCATTTACATGTTTAACATCGTCCGCACGAGATATTCCTGTAGATTTCATTCAAATCGAAAACAAATTTTGTTTTTCGAAAAACTACAAGAACTAGAGACCTAAAAAATTTGGATGCCAAATGAAGACGAATAACTATGTTCAGTGTGTGCTCGTAAGTGATTTGTTATCCCTATATATTTCGTTATCAAAGGTTTTTTTTTCGATTAGGAAAGTAACCTGGTAGACCGTCATCTGTTGACACGAAAGTGATCAGAAGATCAGTTCTAGTATCTCTAGAAGTTTTATTAAATTCAGAGATGACCACTCAGATGTGCTCTTTTTTCAAGGCGAATACATAACCACTCGTATCGACTTTGACTATCGAAGGTTGATCATCAACTTTGATAATAGACATATTTGTGAGGAGGATAACATTATTATTGTGTGAAACTCATATATATTATCAAAGAAAAACGTGAGTGTTATTTTTAAGTCGATGTTTTCCGACTTGCCACCTGCTCCCTCTCCTACCCCATTACAGACACTTCCTATGACATACCTAAACAACTAGTTTCAAATTTTTTTTGAGTATTTTAGCTCATCGGAAATATGTGGCTAGCACATTTTATCCCCAAAAGAGCAGTGCTAATAAGCTGTTTTCGTTTCAGATTTTCTTCAGTCTAGGATTGGATTATTCATACATTGTGTATTCTAAATTAATTTTCTAGATCACTGTTAGCTTTCTGTGAGTGGAAAAAATGGGTCCACAGATATCGAAAATAAATTTAAAAGTTATCGAATTGACTAGAACAGATGATTTAACATTCAATTCCGATATGATCGTATCAAGTAATGGCAAAGAAGATATGAACTTATTCATACCGATAAAACATGCTATTAGTACAAGGACAAGATCGATTCTACTAGATAGTGATTGTTGCATGTATAACTCTGAAAATAAATTGACAAAACAAATTCAAAGTAATCTGTTGCTGTTATTAAATGCAACCGAAGAGACATCAATCGATAATGAAATTAATAATATACTTATGGAAGATATTTATAAATTCGTGGCTAATAATTATCGAAAAACAAAGAAAGATATTCAACATATTCTGAAAACTAAACAGCAGGTACAAAGAGCTTTAAATGAAAACTTGGACATTAATAAAAATATTGATGAACTCGTTTTTACGATACCGTATACTGCTCTACATGCAGAGGAGGAAAAAGGGACGGAAGTCGGGACCACAACTAACGAGCAACAACAGGCTGAATTTCAATTTCAACAATGGTCCTTTTCTGGTTTACAAACGTTAATATCGATATTATTAATTCTGATAAGATCTAGTGAAAAGAATGATCCTACAATTGTTGATCAAGTTTTCACAATAGCAAGTCAGTTTTGTGAACGATTTCCGATGAAATATTTATGGTCATCCGGAATATCGCAAGCTACAAGGAATTTATTGTGGAAACCGTTGAAACCATTGACAAATTATATAAATGAATTGTATTTATCAGAAGATCAAATTGCGACAAAGCACGCTCTTAAAATTCTGTTAAGTATTTCAATTGCAAAAGCATCATTGAAAGACATTCTAAGTATATTGAGCAAGTTAATATTCGACAAAGACAATGTTTCTCATGTACGAGGCCTATTAATACAAATGAATGATGGTATAACAGAAGTTATCAATGAAAGAGAAAAAAGAATGCATCAGGCAATCAGAAAAGAAACAAATGCCTGGACGTCATACTCAAGCGAAGATGAAGAAGAAGATGAAGATGATAATGATGAAGGTGAAGACGATGATGAAGGTGAAGACGATGATGAAGATGAAGACGATGAAGATGAAAATGGAAGTGAAAATGACGAGGAATATGAGACTGTAGATGAAGATGAAAATGAAGACGAAGATAAGGACTCAGATTACGAACGAGAATACGGCGATAACACAACATTGAACGATACAGCAGGTTAGGGTACTGTTTAGTGGACCATATTGTATTGTAGCTAAGGTCGACATTGATACGAGAGCATGCGGGTGTGGATGTGAGTAATCTTTGGACACATACCCATGCCGCATTTTAGGGTTAGTTGTTTCACTCTAATACAGCATAAACTCAATGGGATATTCGTTGAAATTCCATCTGTTATAACATAGTGAACAGCTTTTTCATGCATATTTATTCTTATAAAACTTTATTTGTAGTCAACAGTAATGAATTAGCAACATCTATTAATGAAAGCACTACAGTATTTGATGATCGTCTCGAAAGAACACTTAATAATCGTGGTCGATATGCTCGTTTGGGCAGCACAGGAAAATTCTACTGTGGTGATGCACTCGATGGACCACAGTGTAACTGCTGTGATGGTAAATGTGGACCGACAAGTGGCTGCAATTGCTCATCATGTATGTTACTTGATCTTCAGAAACGAGCTTTACCCCGAGGATGGCTTGTCAACAGAGACGGTGCGTCAGCAAGATGCAGTCGACAGATGCTAACAACATTCTATTGTGGTCGAAGAGTCATGCCAGATGATGGTACAAGTGATGGATATTGTGGCCCCACCAATGGACCACAATGTACAGCATGTCAAATATTGAACCAACAGCGTAGTGGTCGATATAACGAAATCTGGATTGGTATGTAATGCTCTAGATATGTTTTGCGTCGGAATTTCGTGAAATTTAAACAAAAGTTCTAGTCTTTTCACAGATGCAAAACATAAGGTGTATAAAAGTTAATCCTATTGATAACCGATCCTTTTAGTTTGACATGAACGTTATACGTCTTATAGCATAGTGATGTATCAAAGGAACATAATAAGAAAGAACGCTTCATAAATTCTCAAGACCGTTAGTAAAATGAAAACTACTTTACAAAGAAAAGTCTAGTGAAAAAAAGGGAAAGACGATTGTTGGTTTCCATATATTTAATCTGTTGCACGATTTTTGAAATGATGAAAACTGATTTCATGAAATTAGCATAATTTAGTCTTGCAACTTTGTGTCACCGTTATAAATAGAGCATCAAGTTCCACATCCAAGATCATAAATCGATTATCTCAAGAGTATTTCAACCGAAAGAAATCATAAAACATATTTAAAGTAAACGAGAGAATGAATTCAAGGTCATCAAGTTTTAGCGTTTTTATTTTGTTTTTCTCTTCTTCATGTCAAGATGATTGCCATAGAGTTTCCATATAAAAAGCATAATCTATATCACAAAGGTTAATGACACAGTTAAAAACTTAGTGTCATGCATAATTCCACCTTGTTTGGCTAATATCGATGATTTTTTTGTATTTCATGTTAAAAATCGAGTTTCTATTGTATGTGTAGCAACGTAAAAAGCACAATCTATTACTTTGAAGAGATATTCAACCGAAAATATTCGATTTACATGTTATCTTGCGCATTTTGCTTTAAGTGTATTTTAGACTCTTCATCCTTATAGCTTTGTATCTTTCTTGAAAAGTTATAACCTCTTTGAAAATGCCAAAAAACTTGTTTCACGATTTCATCTAATATCCAGTTTATGATATATGCAGCTGTCGGTCGAGTATCTCTACACAATTTGATTCAGTACTCTGACTCACGAATCTACTATGAGATTTGGTGATTTTCGAAGTAGAAATTATCCAATGCAGTTGAATAGATTGTTGCCGAACATTTTTCATCATTGTCATCGAGTTTGGACTACTGAAAGATGCAATCAGAAGTGTTATGTCATGGAAGTTGACTTGATGATAGTTATACAAAAATCACGCTTCCGCTCTACAGGATGGGTGCGAGTGTGGGTGTGTTTCTTTCCCTCAAATCACTTAAACACTCATGCCCAAACCCACCCCACACCCACACCCTCAAAATGACGATGATCGATTGCGAACAGTTGATCGTCATATTCTTCTGGTCAGATTTTTATTATTACAAGACAATATTTTATTTATTAATGTGCCATTGAAAATATTCACATGAATATTGAAGATTCATTCAAAAAAAAATTCAGTTAGCAATAATTGTCTTTCTGCATATTAAATAATTTTGTGGTGCTCAAAGACTCAACATTCCTTTTTATATATGTTGATACTTGTGAGAAGCCGATGAAATTTCATTAAGATATAGGTAAATCTTATTTATGAGTATGTCCGATCGAACAATATCTGAAACGAAGAGAATGAGTGCAAACTGGACAATCGATCTATACTGATTACAACTCGAACACTCGTTTGGATCATTGAAAACGATGAATGTTCATGTGACAATAATCAGTGCGATGAACACAAAAACAACTGAAAATTTCGTCGGATAGACGCAGTGTTAATGGGTAGTTAGAGCGAAAGCGTGATTTTTATATAACTATCATCAAGCCAACTTCCATGACATAACACTTCTGATTGCATCTTCCAGTAGTCCAAACTCGATGACAATGATGAAAAATGTTCGGTAACAATCTATTCAACTGCATTGGATAAGTTCTACTTCGAAAATCACCAAATCTCATAGTAGATTCGTGAGTCAGAGTACTGAATCAAATTGTGTAGAGATACTCGACTGACATCTATATATATCATAAACTGGATATCAGATGAAATCGTGAAACAAGTTTTTTGGCATGTTCAAAGTGATTATAACTTTTCAAGAAAGATACAAAGCTATAAGGATGAAGAGTCTAAAATACACTTAAAGCAAAATGCGAAAGACAACATGTAAATCGAATATTTTCGATCTCTTCAGAATAATAGGGCATTCTTCTCATGCCATGATCTATATATACATGTTGCATATAATTTGTTTTCAATTTTTGACAAAATCATTTCAAAACAGAATTAAATTATGTAAAGGAACTTCTGAAAAAAAGTGCTTCAATAGAAATACACAACATTGAAGCCATCTATTAATATAATATTGGCTCGTAGTCTAGAATCAGAATTAATTGGTTAAGGGTATTGGAATGAATCTTCATAAATATCTTTATTTCCTTTCATATTCTGGTTTTTTGTTGTTGCTCATTGAAAGCGTACGAAACCTGCAATAAATTTTCAACATTCTTATGTCATTCATTCTTATTTTCAATTCAGAGAAGAGTATGTCAATCAAAACTGAACTCTATTTCAATGTCTATGTTGAATTCTCACGACTGAAGATATATCATGTGTATGCCTTAGAGTACAACGTTGAATGAATTTAGTCAATAAACTTCTTTTTTTCCTCTAACTCAAGCATTCTACATTTCATCATGTTTAACATGCCACATTAAAATACTCATCTAAGTAAGACGGACTATCATGATCGATAAAAGAGCAAATTAGGTAATGAATATCAATCTGATTCATAACTGCAGACAATAGACGATTAAAGTATGCAGCTGAATTTGTGTGAAAAAATGTAATTGCGAGTCGAAATTTTGGATGTCGAGGATCCTACTGATTTCTGAAACGTTATAGTTACTGAAAAATAAGTTTGGCTTATTTTGTATAGAATACTACAGACTATAGGAAAACTATTGTAATTAATAGTTCAAAGCCACTTAAAATGATGTGTTTATATTTTGCCTAGTTAAATATTTACAAATTCAGAAAATTGATAGGTCTCCTTATTACATTTATTCTTATAAGCCTTCATTTTTAGTCAGTAGCAACGTATCGGCAACATCTACCAATGAAAGCACTACAGTATTTGATGATCGTCTCGAAAGAACACTCAATAATCGTGGTCGATATGCTCGTTTGGGCAGCACAGGAAAATTCTACTGTGGTGGTGCACTCGATGGATCGCAGTGTAGCTGCTGTAATGGTAAATGCGGACTAACGAATGGCTGCAATTGCTCATCATGTATGTTACTTGATGTTCAAAAACGAGTTCTGCCTCGAGAATGGCTTGTCAACAGAGACGGCGCACCAGCACGATGCAGTAGCTTGGTACCGACGACATTCTATTGTGGTCGTAGGGTCATGCCAGATGATGGTACAAGTGATGGATATTGTGGGCCTACCGATGGACCACAATGTACAGCATGCAAAATATTGAACCAGCAACAACGTGATCGATACAAGCATATTTGGATTGGTCAGTAATGTTCTAAACATATTTTATTTAGGCTTAGAAACATGCATATTTCAGTATGCTTCTTCTAGTTGCAAAACAGCAGAACTTTTCAACTGTAAAATTCACGCATAGTTGACTTGACTCTTTTATTGAAATGTAAACTACATAGATATGTTTAAACTCATTCAGGTATGAAAGTATTTAGTGCAGTCGAGTTCCTATTAATGTGTGAAACATTATGAATTTGTTTTACACACAATCAAAAATATTACTCATTTTGATCATATTATAATTTTAAGTCAGATAGAATAACATAATCCGTAGGTCATTGACGATCTATGAGGTCAATGGAGGAATGGCGGTCGTCCACTTATTTCATTATATACGTTTCTTTTTAATGTGTCGATATTGATTGAGTAGAGCGGCAGGTGACGATTCAAACGACATTTTACTGTTATAGTTAATTAAAATGTATCGCGATTCCAATAACTACGAGCTTAACGAATCATTTTTATTTCTATTCATAATAACTACTTTACATGATCTTCTTGCGACTTGTGGCAATATTTGCGAACATAAAAATTTGATTTTCCTAGTCAATAACATACAAGCACAAGAAAACTTTTGTAAGCGACAGTTTTGAAGAAAAAAAACTATGTAGTATAATATGAGAAAATTCTTCACACTATCATGCACTATAAGCAAACCCTAAAAATATGCGTAACTATCAATGATTGTAGATACAGTTTCCAGTGTTGAACGCTCTTTCTCATGGTCTATATAGAAGTTATTTATGATCTTATTTTGGTTCAGAAATAAAACATACTTCACTTGTCTAATGCGTTTTTCTTCTCTTGAATTATGTGTAATAGAAAATAATTTATGTAAAACAAGAAAAAGATAAGATGAAGAATGAACAAAAGTGTTTATTTTACTCGTTAGTCTAAGTTCAAACAAATGTAATTACACGAGAAAAACTTGTAAACCACAATACTGAGGTTTAAATGACTGAGTTTTTAAGAAACTTACGGTAAAGTTAAGACTATAGTTCATCGATGTTTTTATTGAATATAGATTGATGACACTCCTTAAATTACGCGCGGAATATTTATCTTAATACATCTCTTAGACTTGTATTCACATTCCTAATTATTCGCTTTAAAAACATAATATTCAGTTAATTAGAGGTTGTACCACTTACGTATTTGATCTAATTTAACTAAAGGTATGCCTGTGTAATTGTCTACACCATTAAAAGGTTTTCTTTTCAAAAGTCGAGTAACAATTTAATAAAATATGTTAACAATGACTATCTATACTAGATTATTGTCTGAATGTTCGAATAAATTGTCAGATATGTGTAATGCCTATCTCAAATTTACTGAAGATGTATATATCATTCAAAAAAGAATTGACATTTTTAGAGGAAAGAACATTGACATCATTGATTTATTTAAAAAGACTTGGAGTATATCCAAATACAGAACTGATGAAATTGAATGATCAACAATTTACTGGACAATTCATTTCTTCTATTATTCTGGCACATATTGACTTTCATAATGAAATTAATTCAATTGGACAATCTGAACATGACTTATTCAATTGCTCAATGTCATTTGAATTTCATCCAGATACTTTCAGATTGTTGTTTCAGATCATTGAACAATTAACAACATTGATAACGCAGACTTGGAATTCAGTTGTCGTTCATAATTTAGTTGTTTGCTTGCGATTATGTACAACACATTTGGAAATTTTACGTTCTTCAAACCCAAATCTTGACCAATATTTCTTGACCAAAAACGATGAGGTTACTGAAACAATTCAATCTTCTACAACATCTCTATCAAAAAGTCACCTCAATTTAACAGCATTTGCAACGGACGATCAATTACAAACATGGTTTGAAGCTTTGCTGAAACTAGTGTATATTGACAATGGAAAACCTGAGCAGTTGATCATATGTAGTCAAGCATCCAAGGCTCTTCTTTACGTTGTTGATGCTCGGACATCGTCATTCATAGAAAAGTTATCATTTATTCACAAACATATAATGGAAAATAAACATCCAATGTTTGTAGAACAATTATATAAAGAATTGACAAAGAACGTTGTCTTACTAAACTGGATTGAAACTTTATGTAAAGACAATGATAACCAGACAGAGCAAATTACAGCATTGAAAATACTTTATTCATTCATCGACAGTTACTTCAAACCATCAGACGAAATAAATAATGAGCAACAGCAACAACTAAAAAGAATACTGATGTCATTTCAACAACTTTTATTAGGGCGATTAGTATCGGTATCTAAATCGAAAACAAATCGTAACAAAGACTTTGATGATGGATTTCCGACAACAGCTGCTCCTAATACTGTATCATCCCTCGTAATTAAGTATATAACTTATATTTTAAGAAATTATATTCATAAACTAATAATTATGAATGATTTTTTCAATACAATGCTTGCGGGCTTGTGTCTAATGACAAAAACACATGAGATATTTGATTTTGAAATAATTCAACCCATATTCGCAACTACTATACCACTACTAGTAGAATATATATTTCAAAATACAAACAATGATGAATGGGAAAAGAATAATCTGCATTGTATTTGTTGGTTATTAAGCAAAATGTCTATTATTATGATTGCTGGCTCACAACAAAATTTAGTAGAAAGGAAACATATCGATAAATTAAGATCATCCTTGTTTGCTGGTGGTTGTGAAAAAATAATAATAGAAAACAATAAATATCTATTGAATTTGTTCAAATCTCCTTTAGCTACTTACAGTCAATTTAAATTGACTGATGACATTGAAGAATCACCTTTCGATCGTGAATTTCTCATGTCAGTTTACAATAATACTAATGAAGGTGCACAATTAATATCAAAAATCAAAGAACATATGAAAGATAGACAACGTTTCGTACAAAAATCGATTGAACAACAAGTAAATGACGCATTTGCCGCTGTATTTGCTGTTTATATTAAACATTATCGTCGAATTAATTTAGCTAAACACGAACTAGCTCAAACGGATAATAAAAGACCACATCATAAACTTTTATCACTCTATGAATATGCCAATCATGTTCAAACATTGTTTGCCACAACAAAAGCACAAGGTGGCGACTGTAATGAACTTTACAAACAAATAAAAACGAATGCATTATTTCTTTTATCATCCGTTCAATCAGATAATTCTATTCCGATCATAAATGAAGACCTTCTACAATCAACAACAAGCACACATATAATGACAACAGTAGAATATAAAATAAAACCGTCATTTAAGCGGCAAGTCTCACGATGGACAACAGCGAAACGTGTCCTTCAATTGCTTCGAAATACAATGAATGCTTGTATACGATTTAAAAAGTTAATGTTAGCCAAAAAACAAGCTATTAGACAAAAATTAGACAATGAAAGTATCTTAAATCGAACAATTGATGCATATATTTATGGAGATCCTTACAAAACAATAACAAGTGAAGAAAAATCATTGGAATCGGACGAACTTATTCAATGTATGTCACGGCAGTATGAACGAGCAATGACAAGAATGATAACGTACCGATTTATTCAAATGTTTATTCAAAAAGTATTAAGTATTGAAAATCAAAGTCGAGCGTTAACTATCTTGTCTGTTTATTTACCATGCTTGAGAAATACAGACTTAGAATGGTCCTATTTAGAAAATATTAAAGCATCAACTTGCAATTTGAAAGAAAAAATTAGAAACAGTTATTATTCTATAATTAAAACTATTCTGTCCTATATATTACAATCGATCACCTCTAAACCAAAGCTCTTATGGCGAAATATGTTCAACGTGCTTAACTTATCATATGAGGCAGTTGATATTGAGTATTTATACCGTGATCAATTTGTATACACATTATTCACATTGTTTGTTAGCTTTATTGAAAAATCAGATTACACGAACGATGTTGGATTCTATATAAAATTGATTGGATACAATTGGTTTCGATTATTTGTATTAAAACTGAGTGAAATCATCGAATTGACAGAACAGAAAGGTGCCGACAATAAAGTTCTAAACGAACAACAGGAATTTGTTTTCAACACTTTGATTTTAAACGAACTGAAAGGACTAACACGAATAATACCAATTGATACAGAAAACGAAACTACTTGTTCTTTAACTTGTAAAAAGAATTCTTTAGATAATCTTGCTATTGGTTGGTTCATTAAAAGAGCAACAACAATTGAAGATGATACATCAAATGTTTCAAATGTTCTATCATCAAAATTTGATATTGAACTCTGTATAAATCAATGGTTGATACTTCTACTTCGTCTTGTCCATTTTTACGAACATGTTCAATCTGTATGTGCAACGATTGATTACATTGAACAGTTGCTGTACATCTATCATAACTATCAAAATAGTATTACCGGTTTTCTCTCGTTGAAAATTTTACGTTACCTAATACCGAAGCATGCAAACGAAGAGTCAAGGAGTATTATTGAGACCTTTTTGACCGAGACTCTAGTTTACATTGGGAATAGTTTCGTTGTACAACAGATTCCATCATATATTATCACCGAACTGATCTACTTATATCGTACAGTGATGTCTGTAAAATCACCATGGCAGATGATGGCAACAGACTTTATTTTCAACACTATCACATCAAGCAAGAACAATACTTATTTGAAATTACTCGAAATTGGTGATGTGAATCAAATGAATCATTTGGTTGCATCTCTGTGTATATTGGGTGGATATATTCAACCTTTTTGTTTAGGTTCAATTGTAAAAATATATACCGATGAAGAAAGTAATGAATTTCAATTGGCGACTATCATAGAAATTGACAAGAATGCTAGTGATTCGGATATATCCGGTACGTCGACCTATTTGATTCAATATCTAGAAACGAATGAAATTGAATCAGTGACAATTGATGAGCTAGAAATCGAAACTGTTGTGCCGCCACCTAATCTACTTTTGTTAGCAAAAACAAACGAAACGAATGCTGCCATAAATGCAATTATCGATGCATTGGTATATTTCATACAAATCGATACGTCGACAAATGAATCTGTACCGTTATTACAACTGAAACGTCGCTCAGTAGCCGTTTTATTTCATATATTGAATGATAAAGCTCTCGTCGAAGTATTCATGCAAAAACCATATGCACCCATTATTGTCAAATTATTCATATCTGATTCATTATCAAATAATTGTCGACAACTGTCTGATTTACGATTATTGAATAGACAACATTTGGAACAGTATTGTTTGAGTTTAGATGCATGTCTAAGCTCAAATGAGATCGTATCCAACGATAATGGTAATAACAGTCAACTATTGCATGATGTGACAGTTTTAAATAGTAAGCATAAATTTTCTTCGCACGTTTGGAACAACAATGAAATTAGTCACAATCAATTAATTCTTAATGCACTATCAACGAACGTATTGAAATATAATGGTTGGAAACCATATGCATCACAAATGGAAATTGAATCGTTTAGAAAAGGTCGAATCGGAAGTAATGAACTTTCCGTTGTTCCAATGCCATTAGACATTAGTGACTCAAGTGTTTTCGAAGAATGCGGTAATAATCATAAATTCAAAGGACGAATTTCTCCAAATAATAAAAACACAAATGGACCATTTCCAACATACATTGTTGATAATATACAAGTAAGTGAAGGTAAATGGTATTATTGTGTTAAAATACTAGTTAATAACTATATTCAAATTGGATGGGCTACAAGTGAATTTGTACCCCACCCAGATGATGCTCGTGGAATAGGTGACGACAAATATTCATGGTCATACGATGGATCACGAGGTACACTTTATAATAATGGAGAATTTCATTTCACTTCTGATGATATTCGATGGAAAGAAAATGATGTTTGTGGTTGTGGTATTGAAATTGATGGTGAGAATATTTGTATCAAATATTGGCTGAATGGAAACTATCTTGGCAAAGCTTTTGAACATCAATCAAATATCGCATCAACAACAACAATATGTAATATGTTACCAAATGGACGGCAAGGTACCATCTATTTTCCTGGTGTTTCTTTACAAGTTAGTTCTTATTCTAGTAGCCGTTGTGAGCTCATTTTTAGTCCAGAAGACATGACGGAATGCCCATTACCAAAAGGTTACAAACCATTATTGATGCCAAAATTAATCAATGTCGAAAATTCTATTGTCGCTTATCCTTATAGTGCTTATTTGATTGATGATCAAATTCAAAATAACTTTCATACACAACGAAGTACAACACCGACAACATTTTTGCGTGATTTTGTAAGCGAAGATCATCTTGAAACAGAATTTACTATTGATAATAATCAGCTAGTCCTACCAGAAAATAGTAATGGTTTGCCACTTTCGATCGATAATCATGCGTCATCATTGACAATCAGTTTTGATTTTAAAACTTTAAAAAAAGTTGAAAACGATGCTAACACAAAATTAGATATTCTGTTATTTACACTAGAAACTACAGAAATATTCTCAGTACAAATCTCAATAAGCAAAATAGAAAACGAAATACGAACTGCAATCATAGTCAATCCGAAAGAACAACAAATGATAATTTACTTCAATAATGAATGTCGAAAATTTCACATTGCTTTTGAAGCTTCAACAATGGCGAAACTAAATTTTCATATATTACCTAATATTGCCGTTGGAATAAAAAATCTTGGCATTTGGAAATATGCTCTTTCGGAAGAACATATTCAGCGTCTATTTACTTATGGTTTATTCTATGTAGCAATCGATTATCAACAGTTGAAAGAACATCGAACACAAGCGAACACTATCACGTTCAGTAAGAATCAACAACAATTTTCGAGCCAATTACTTGTTCCGTTTAATGAACCATTCGAAAAGAACATATGGGAGAAAAAGAAGAAACAAGTTGACATTGATGAATCCATATATTTTAGAACAATTGCTGGAACTGATGAATCTGTCGTACAATTATTTGGAAACAAAACATATCTCGTTCTAGATAAATCCGCTGATCAAGGCTGTGAATATGCACTTATTCTCGACATTTGCATACCTAATTGGCCAACGAATAATGAAAAATTGACACTATTGAGATTGAATACACAATCAGAAATTTATATTACACATAATGGTAAAATTATTCTATCTAGTAATGGAACACAAAACAAAAGTGATTCAACATTGAAATTGAATGAATATTTCCGTTTGCATATATCGTTTCAAAAGAAAGTTGTCAAAATCTATGTAAATGGAATACTGGAACTAAGTGTCAATATCAATGAGGACCAATTCATGGGAAAAGCTAAACGAATTGAACTGTTTCGAGAAGTGGATTTAGGAAAGAATACGACTAATGATGATAGACTTCGAATTGAATGTAAATCGATCACATTTTTAAATGATTTAATAGCAGATGCAGATAATCGTGAAGAAATGAAATCAACAAAATATTCATTAGAAACTTTGGTTGCACCACCCTTTTCTATAGTTGCATTAAATTTAGTTGCCATTGGATACAAAGAATCATGGATAAAATACACTATGAAAGAATACAATACGAGTAATATTCGATTGATTGATACAATTATACGTGAGAAAAAAGAAGAATTCATGAAGAACGAAGCTCAAAATCGACAAAAACGTTATTTCAATATTTTGTCGAGATTAAATCCATCGATTGATAGAGAAAAAATGGAAGATCTGCTTGCGTTCTCAAAATTTGATACTGACGAACAAGTGACAGCTGCTTATAAACTCGTCCTACTGCATTGTCACGATCTACAGACATCGAAATCGTTGTTGAAGACGTATGAAACGAAAGAAAATGTACTGAATTTCAGTGAAAATGAAACTTCATTGTCAAGCGAAAAATGGTACTATCAAACTATTCGTGGTTTAGATGTCAATGATCATCTCGACGAATGGATTCAAGGTAAAACAAAAATGATTCGAGCAGAAGATCTCACTTGTCAATTATTCGATTTGACAAAATCTGAACAAGAATTAACAACAATGACTTCATTTGCAGGAAGTCAACAAAAAAAGATTAAAAAATCAATTCAATATTCACATCGACAAATTTCACAACAAAAATACATGAACTTGCGTGTTGCATGTGAACACGGATTGACAATGATGTATGCACGTTATACTGTTTGCAATATGTTAAAACTTTGGTCACCTTATAGTTCAAATAAATTTCCATGGGAAAAATTTGGTGATTGTGCACTTATAACTAGGCTGTTACGTTTGATGGATTACCATTACATGTATACAAATACGAACATAGATGAAAATGTTGATATCATGAGTTTATTAACGAATTCGATTCTCCAAGCTGAAATACAAGAATTATTAAAATATTCCAGCAATCACAATGAAATTAATACTGAAATTGTACATCGAGAAGCTCCCTTAATCTATCAATTGCAAAAGGATATTACTATTCAATTGATCCAATTTTTGTTTGACCCAGTATTATTATTATATGATTGGGATAATGAGACAAAGAGTATTGACGAAAGAACACTGATCAAACAATCAAGCTTAAATTTTGTTTTGAAAATATTGAATCTATTTATTGCTGTGGCAACTGATAAATCGGCGATGAAACATCGCGACATCGATTCACTTATTCCAGTTCTATTCCCTGTAACATTAATCAATTTGTTGTTTGATCTATTTTTGATTAGTCCAACGCATCAATTAAAAATATTCATTCTACATCTCTTTTCTACGTAAGTAAAATCAATGACAGAATCCAGTAAAACTTCTCATTGTGAGTGGCTCTTTGTTGACCTCGATGACAAGAGTGTAAATGAGATAGGAGCACTGAAGTTCCACTGAAAGTTACGAATCAAGCTGTTGACTACCGCTATCAAATACAATTTTCGAATCCTTCAATTTAAAAATCTCATTAATTTGACTTCGTTTCTCAAAGTCTAAACTTTGAAATCGGATCAAATCATAGACGAGATAGAATATTTTAAAAGATTGTTTTGTTGCTGATAGTAGTCGACTGTAAGATCAACTTTCTATCTTAGATCATTCTTGAACGACTGATCAGAATTTTTATAAATCGAAAGGCAACAAGATGGGATACTATCAATCAGAGCTATACTAGGCGTCCTAAAAATGAAAATAATTCTATTTTTCTTTTATTTAATAGTTTACTTGATGCAAGCAAAAATTTCCATTTGAACGAACAAATTCAAAATTTCTTATTTCAGTTATTCATTGAAATCTCAGCCAAAACTAATTTAATTAGTAACCCAACAATAAAAAGGTTACAAAATAATCTCATGAATTTAGTATTTTTGTTATCTGAGAGACAAAAATATCAACAAAATACAACAAATGTAAAAAACGATGTCAATCAACAATTAAGATTCAATTTATTACAATGTCCACAAATTTTTCGTGATATACTGACAATAATCGATGTTATCAATGTGTTAATAGATAAAAAGAAGCAAGCACAATTTCCTGAAGTTGTTTTTCAGATAACGGATGAGGATGAAGATGAATATCTGAAATTCACTCGAGACGACGTCGAAAAATCGAACGGCCATTTCGATACGATAGCTGATCAACAATTGATTAGTTTCATGAACAAGCAATTGTTAGTCAACGATTCCTTCAAAAATTTTATTCAAAGTCTATCTATCGAAGACATGTCTCATGCAACATTCTATAAAACTTACTCATCTCTATCAAACATTCCAGCTGTCTGCATAATAACTCGTGCAAAACTATTGTATCGATTAAGTATGCTTATTGAAAAAGTTGTGCCATTTCTCGATTTTACTTTATCACCGAGACAAAGTATTCTCACCGATAAAATTCGTGCACATAAAATGTATTTATTTCACTCAACCAAGCTTCATTGGTTTCATCAATCCTTACAAAAAACTGTAGTGAGATCGTCGCAAGAAATTCCTTCTGTTGAGTTTGATACAGTGGAAGCTAGTAATGTTGATGATAAGGACGAAGCTACTATGTTTCACCAAGCTTATGATCAATTACATCAAAATGCGCATGTATTATTTCGAAGAGAAGAGGAACAACTTTGGCAGGCGCAATACATTGGAATGCATAGTACAGATCAAGGTGGACCTTATCGAGATTCTATAACACGCATTTGTTCGGACATATGTAGTACACAACTGCCATTGTTTATTTTATGTCCAAACGGACGAACACAAACTGGTTTGAATCGTGATCGTTGGATCCCAAATGTATTTCCACCGAATAAATCGATTTCGACTAAAGTGAAAAATCAATATCGTTTCATTGGACAATTGATGGGCATGGCAATACGTCGAAAACATTACTTGGATTTAAAATTTCCCAGTCTGCTATGGAAACAATTGGTGCAAGAAAAAGTAACTATGGAAGATATTGAAGCAATTGATATGCAAAGTTTTACAATTATTAATGAAATGGAAAAAACTTTAAAACGAAATCAATCGATAGATACCGATAGTGACATCAATTATTTACTTAGTAGTATTATGAGTGAACTACGTTTTGATATTGTGAGTTCAGCTGGACAAACTTATGAACTCATTCCCGGTGGTGCAGAAATTCCAATTACTTCTGATAATTTAAAACAATATTGTGCATACTATTGTGCATATCGTCTAAATGAATTTCATCGACAAATTGAATTTATTCGTCAAGGCTTGTATAGTATTGTACCAAGCTATTATTTAAGTTTATTTACAGCTAGTAACCTTGAAGAAGCCGTATGTGGAAAAGGGCAAATTGATATTGAATTATTGAAGAGGAACACGAATTATAATCATGTAAGTGCAGATGCACCATATATTCAACGATTTTGGACAGTTCTAAGTGAATTATTCGATGAAGATCAAAGAAAATTATTCTTGATATTTGTTTGGGGAAGAAGTATATTGCCAAGTAAAGATGAAGAATTTACATCGAAATTCAATATTAATCCATATTATCTAAGCAATGATGAAGTGGATAAAGCGCTTCCACGTAAGTAGAGTTTACATTTTCATATCTGCAAAACGACAAAAAAATATACTTCATAATTTTTCAAGTGAAATTTAAAAATTAAAAAGAAAACCTAATGCGTAAAGTTGTAGAAAATTAACAAATTTTGTCACATAGTTTTTCTCGGCTAAAATGGCAATTTTTATTGTACACATTTTTCTGAGGGCTGTCATCCTGTTGACGAGGCAGTATTCTTCTCAAACAATTATTTTTATTTTTCATATTTCCCAAGTCTGAAAGAATTTTCATGCGAGAAAAACTTATCCATACGATGACACGATTTCTATCAATTACCTTCTATTAATTTATGAGGTAGATAAGAGCTTCAGAATTCACAGACACAAAACTTGAGTCGTAAATAGTTGAAACTTCGAATATTCAAAATGAAATCTAAATACTCCTTGTTCACCAGACTTTCTGGAAATTTTCTCAAAACTTGAAGTTTTTTTAAAAGTGCATTTTATTTTACTTTTACAGTGATCAGTACTTTTTCAAATTAAGCTTAATTCCTTGATCGTATGTATCTCATTCGAGAGAACTCACTAAGTTATCTAAGAAAAAAAAATTACCTTTTGGAATTTAGCAGCCATTGTTAGTAAACGTTTTCAGGAGATAATTTCTTCGAAAATTTACAAAGATGAGAAATGTCATCTCTATAGAATTTTTGATTAAAGATTCAAATGAAAAAAGAATTCAGATTCGAAATCATTGCTCAAAATTGCATTCATGAATTAGATTAGATTCTTGACTATTTTGCTAGAAAATGTCACTTTGATATTAGCAAGAAAGTAATCAAAAACTTTAAACTATAATTCCCCTTTTTTTATTATTTCATTCTTGTAATCCAATTTTTGATAGTGATTTGAAGATCATTCTTCTTTTGTAATCGGAATATTTTTTATAGCAGATCTCATCAAAATCTGACTTTATATCTTCACGTATTTTGGAATAAATTTTTCTCGACGTTGAGATATACCAATTCCAATACCAATGCTTGATTCGAAATCAGTCGAAAATGGAATTGATGAGAATTGCTTTTTTCTTGCAGAATTACTCATTTTCCACATATTCATTTATATTAATAACACGATTCTAATTTTTTCTTAAGATCAATTTTAACCGATTCTAGAAATCTCTATTTTCACGTAACTCATAGACTTTCGCTAATAGATGAAGTGAAAGGGGAGGCAGAGGGTATTGGATGACCTCTTTCAGAAATATTCAATAGAAATTCAATTGCATTATGTAATGGAAATTTACTGTTAGGAGAAGACCTGAACTTTTTGAAGAGTCTCAACCGTGCCGCATCCTTACACTTCCTCGTCTGGCTCCACAACTATACTTTAACGAAATCTATTGAAGTGGATAGATAGGAACAAGAAATTAAGTTTCCATAAAAAACGTTACAGTCTGCAACAGATTATCGTTTTCATATTTTCAACTCTCAAAAAGAAAAAAAACTCCATCCCTTAAACTTTTACAAAAACAATCTATCTTCCATGAGTTATGATAGTTTGGTGTGTATATAAATGAGCGGATGCTGCCAGACGTTGCCAACCATTATTATATCTTCAAATCAACTCAAGAATCTCGGATTGTATACATAGCTATTGATAGAGTAGACAGCATAATGCTAAGATGTAGCTTTGATAATTTTTCAGTAAGCTAAACATGAGAGACCACCAATTAATAGTTCCTTCCTCGTCCATAATAGAAGAGTATGTCTTCTTTATATAACAATTTGCGTTGATGGTTCTGAAATGGCCACTGTTGTGAACTACGTTTTCGCCCACTTGAATCTTAAAAATGGACATTTTCGAAGGAACTTTTCTAAAGTTAACTAGAGGTCTTTCTTATTCTAATAAATAAATCATGAGATTCATTCGTTTTAGGTTCACATACATGTTTTTTCACCATTGATTTACCTGCATATTCGACGACCGAAATTATGTATGAGCGTTTGAACTACGCTATTAACAATTGTTCAAGCATCGATGGTGATGGCAATATGATTGAAACTATTGATCCAAGAGATTTCATGTCTGATGACAGTTCAGAAGACTAAATATGGATGATTTGACTCTTGTGTCTAAAATATAACTACTTTTTTAATCAAGATAAAATGATGGCCAGTTACTCACAAATAATAATCTGTTTTTTTTGCATTTTCGCTGCTGTTGCTCATTAAAAGACGATCATAGATCTTCATTTACACGCTCCAAAAAATTGTATCGAAGACCATGTGTGTAGATTCTAGAATTGAGAGCATGTGATCGGTGACAGAACAAGAGCATATAGATATTCGAGTGAATGAGCATGTGTGTATGTATTTGATTGTGATTGTCTTCAGCATTCACACCTAATATTCTGACTCATTGAAGCTGAAACGTTCGGGATAAATTTAATGATGTGCTACTGTTAGTTGACGTTTTTCGCCTCTTGCATCGTTTCTTGTTTTTTTTTCGGATGATTTATTTCTTACTTTTAAAGCACAACAACGCTTTCCGTCTCGTTTCCATCTTCTTTGCCTGTTCCTTTTTGTGTTTTTTTAAAGTTCTTTCGAAATGTGTACTCTGTTGAGAAAGACTTCACACGACAACAGTAAAACACTCACGAGAAGAATGATGGCCAAGAAGAAAAATTCATACTTATTCGATTAAATTTCTGTCGAATAGAGTACACCAATCGATAATCGTTTCTGCATTTAAGATGGTTGGAATCCAGGATTCCTAGATCTTTCAAGATGAGAGTGGATATTCTAAATTTTATATATTTTCCTGTTTATTTTCGACTTCTCGAATTTCGAGTTATTTTCAATTATTTTTCAAGTTGTTTTAATTGGCTAAACTCGAGCTTTTATGAGTTTGATTCTGACTGCAACATTGAATTTTTTCAGCAACTAAGACATTTTTGTTGTGCTACTATTATCATTATATGGTATAGAGCTTTGAGACTAATAATAACCTGCTCCATCAGTATAAACTGACTCTTGTGTTTACGAAGGAATTTCTCACATAATAATTCTAACTTGTTAAGTTGAACTAGATTCAGCCGTGAATGAAGAGTTCGAGGATTCCCATGTAAAAGTTGAGACCAAAAAAAGTCACTAATAAGTGAACCTTTTTAAGTAACTATTAGTATACTTATAAGCAGAAAGTACTTTTTATTACTTACGTTCTCGTAGTACTTGCTAATACTTACTTCTTCGCAGTAATTTTTATTACTTACCATAGTATTTTTTAGTATGAAGTCTATTTATTTAGTTACCCAAGGCTAGATTCGAACTTTTCAGGTTAAGTCCTTACTTTTTTCAATTTCTCCGACTTTGAAAACAGGTATACAAGCCACTTAGCCAAATTTGTATACAACCATATATGCTTAGAACTGCCTTATAAACTGAACCGATGTAAAATTGTGCAATGACAACTTAAAAGTACTATTTCAAATACTTCAAAATACTTTTTATATACCTTAACACACCGATTTCTTCGCGAAAATACTGTTTAGTACTTTTCTATATTGCTATATTAAAATTAGTTTCCCAAGCCACATTTAGCAGCAATTTTCTTTCTCGGAGCTTAAGGTGACTTTAATATTGAGTTTTCGATGCGATTTTTCTGTGCCACTCAAGCAAAGTCACTCTTTATATGAAGTCAATCTAGCGAGTAAGCGAATGCGCATTCAACAGGGTTTTCTAGTCATGCAATAAAATAAGTCCTTAAAAAACAATAAAAAAATCACTAAACAGCACTATTGTTAAAGTAAGACTAATATCTAATGTACCCGGCAAAATAGTTGCGAAGTAGTATGGAGCACTTGTTGGAGAAGATAATTTTTCTATTCAGAAAGCATAGTTTTACGAATCAACAGTTTTGAGAAAATATGAACAGAAGAACTATTTTTCCATTGTAACTCTCAAAATATAAATTTTCATTCAAACATTTGCTACTTAGTTTTACATAGGATGTGGGTGTCAGTTTGTAGATAATTCTGCGTCTGTAGATGGGTTTGAATATTGAAGGCATGGAATAATCTAGCCTACAACTAAGCTTACAGTTTTCACCACTCAGAGACCAAGTTGAACCGAATTTTACTCATTCGAGTTCAGCTCGATTCGTCTATATTTTTCTTAAACGTTCCAAACTCGGTTTGGTTCGTTGTTGGTCTCGGGTCAATAATAATGACGATTTCAGATGCTTGTCTATTCAAAGCTGTCTAAAGAAGGATTTCTATATTCAACTGAGAAAGACTATTGATGTTGTTTAGAATTGTGCCTATTTCAAGAACCAAAGCAGAAAGCGTCACTTCATATGCTCTCGAAATCTGGTTTGCAATCCATGAAGTTAGCGCATATTGTAGCATGTTTATTTATTACCATCTTATGAGCTTTTTTAATGAAACAAAAATCTATTCTACTTTTATTTAAGCCAGAGAAAAACTGAGTTTCAAGCATCGCAATATTTAGAGGGTGTGGGTGTGGATGTGAGGATGTGGATTTGGGCGTGGGTGTGGGTGTGGATATGAGTCAAAAGAGGATGAACATTCATGCCGACACCTACACACCCACACTCATACCGGACCCACACACCCCACACCCGCATCCACACCCACACCCTAAAAGGTTTAAAGATTGAAATATGGATTCGATAATATCGATATGATCAAATAAATAATGATTCACTCGTTATTATCGATAATCCGGACAGCCTTCTCTTCTTTTTTCTGTCTATTAGCTTTTGAATTAGTTGTAAAAAATGACACTTTCTTTTTTCGCAAGAGAATAAGAGTTGATGTTGAGTAACAGGAAATAAAAAAAATTCCAAGGAATCATAAAGTCATCTAGACACATGTTAATCGGAATCATTGTCGATAAAATTCAAATCGACTCGTAACTTTTCTTATTTAGCGACAAAAAACTTTTATTACATTAAACAAAATATTTCACGTCTTCCCGTAGCTTCGAATGACATCAGATGCAATGTCTACTCCACGTTTTCTTTCCTATTCTTGTGCAACATAAATCAGCATGTGACTCAACTCTATGTGAAAGTTATAAAACGCTTTCTCGTGCATGCAACCAACCTTCTCCCTTTTTTTCTCACACAACTATTTATTTTTGCCTTTTCTAGTGTTCGGTTATTTTATTGGCCTCTACGGAACAGTCGTTTTTTTTTCTTTTTCTGTTCTTCATTACAATTGACTCCTTTTTGCATCTCTTTAAAAAAACCGACAAACAGAAGAATGACGACCGCTACTTCGACAGCTGCCAACGACAGTGTTCCGTCTAATTACCATACAGTGACTATTTGTGCAAATCTACCAAAAATCAACAAATATTACAGCGTTGAAGAGCTCAAGGATCTTCCACCTACTGACTACTGGTTGAAGAAGATGGATGAAGAAGATGAGAAAGCCTGTTTCAAGATCCAACATGTGGTTGCCAATGGTCCTTGTAAGTAACGCAAACTTGGTTTTTCGGCATTGACATATATCTTCTAATGTTTAGATACCTCGGATAATGAGAATCATGCGATTTTCTCGGCTTTTCTTTTTGCCTACAATTCACACGAAGATATTGTTTTATCTCCAGATGATATGTGGCTCATGATTTGTATCTATTTTTCACAATATGTCAATGAGAACGCCGAACAACTCCGTTCACTTTTTGTTGGTCAAGATGACCGTAAAAAATTGACTGTTGTACAAATAGGTTTGGTTGAACCCGAGTAAGTTTGTCAAAAGAAAGCTCAGATATTCTTTATTGTTGTAGTTGGAATGATTTTCTCGAACGTATGCGAATGGAAATAGGCAATCATTTGAAAAACGATATTACGGAATTACTGACATCGAATTTTTCAACAACTACCCAATTTCAATCACTTCTTTCATGCATCGCTATCATGGATACATTTCAAAAGTACTTCGAATATGAATGCTATATTACGAAGTGTGGTATTCGCAATGTTCACTTTACGGGTACATTAGACGATTGGAAGCTTCTACGTCAAAAAACAAAAGAACTGAAGAAGTTTGTCACATCTAGGTCAAATAGTTTTGAAACTTATATCAATGGCTTATTACTCATTTTCGATCAATTCATTCAGACCTATCAAGGCAAAGTAGACAATGAATTCTGGAACAAGGTCATGGATATCGAGCATGTGGGCGGTGGAAGATCAGGAAGGTGAGCATTTAGGATAGGAAATTGTCGGCAGAGTAATAAAGTAAGAGCTATTACATTAGCATTGCGTGCTAACTACATTATATCACTGAGTGTTCAATTCTGTGTGTGATGAGAGAATCAAATGGCAAAAACTACAGTAGAAATTTTGCATTAAATCAAATAAATACCGAATTCAAATGAGATGATAGTTCGGAGAATTCTGAGTTTTGTCTGTTTACTTGAGGAAAAATCGATGCATAAAATAGATATGAAGAAAGAGAGATTTACTAATCTTTTTATGTTTTCAGAATGTCTGGTACATACGTAAGTGGATGGATTCTTCGGCTTTGCTATGGATTACATACCAAGAGTAACTGTGAAATTAGACAAATAAAACTTAATTCATTTAACGTACCCGTTCAAGTAAATAATGAAATAATCAATCAATCAAAGACATGTTATGTAACTGGAGGTTTTCACGGAGTTGATTCACGTGATGAACGCCATAAACCGGTGATGAGTCTTGCCATTATTGAGGATACAAGTATAATTAAACCTTTAAAACAAAACTGATCGTTAAAGACTACGTAGTCGCCGTTTCTTTTAGTTAAGAAACTATACCTTCTATATGAGAAATATTGTAGAAAATAAACCGTGTAAAAGAAAATAATCTTCTGTGAAATATCTGTTTTTACACAAGGCAACTTCCTAGAACAACTATTTCTACCATCCAAAATGATTCTTTTGAATATGAACTCACTCTCAAAGAAGTATTGAAATCCATGAGTAGAAAAGCTCGATGTACTTTTATTCGAATCAAATTGATGTGACAAAAAATAGTTCGATATCGGCGAAGGCATATTCAGATATGCTCGAGTTTATTAGCGTCTCTTGAGATGGGTGTGTGAGTGTTCTCTTTCATCTAATCCACACCCACACCCACACCCACACCCATAAGCAAAAAACCTCGAAAATTTCAGATTTATAGCATGTACCTGAGCTGAGATCAATGCTTAAGGGAACTTAAGAAAACCTCAAAAGTCAGACCATTTATTCGGTTCAAATAAGACGTTGGAAAACGCGGCTTCGGAGATTGCCATTATGAATGGTTTTTATAGACCTAATAAACCGTCTGACTTCCGCGGTGCGATGAGACCACACAAGATCAGATATTCTCGAACCTCAGTCAACCGCGGTTTTTGCGTCAATTTTTTTCATGGATAGGGTAACAAAGGCAGACCGTCATAAAGTATAAGTCTCTTCTTGCCTCTCACTCTCACCTATCTAGCTGCTCTGGTAATTCAGTTTGAAATCAAATAATTTTATCGGTTCAGAATTCAGAATGAATTCAAAAAGATACTTGTATGAATAAGAAAGAGATGTTTGCAGATTGAAATTTTTTTCTGCGCAAAGTTTGAATAATCAAAATCGATTCCCTATTCTCCGTCAGAGATTGATGATGCTTGATATCGATACAGTAGTAGTCAGAATAGACGGTACTATACGATACTTAATGCCTAGGTGGGATATACAGCTCCGATTAATTTCCACTCTTGTCGCTGAAAATTCGGTAACATCATGGTAATCATTTTATTCTCATTAGCAATGAGCTTTGCCAGCAAAAAAACTGTGGAAAACTTCGCCAAAAATATTCACTCCTTTTCGGTTTACCTACAAGGCAATTTTGCTACTATTGCGCAGCTTTTGTTTATATCTGCTACAAATTTATTTTTTTAATGATGATAATATTCTATCTCAACTTAGTTCACAGGTCCAAAAACTATTCTGCCCGCAGCAGTGAGATCTGTTATTGGATCAATGTTCACGGCTTGAAGTTTTTCTAGAATGGCCTTTCGACGTCTTTCAGCTCTTTCTGGAGTCATAGTTGGGATGTCGGCACGAAACATTTTCAGGTACTGAACATAGCGTGGACGTAAACTACAGTTTGCTCGTGATCCATGCATCATACGCTGATCCCAGAGAACGGCTGAGCCAGCTCGCATAGAAATATGACAAGCTGCCTTGTACATATCCGGTATCTCATTTTTGTCGAAAACAATAAATTGGTCATGTGCCAAAAACCTTTCTCGAAACTCATAGTTTTTGTTCGTCCACTTTGTCATATATTGATGAAAACCAGGAATGAGCCAGAAGCCGCCATCTTCTTCATGATTATCTGCAAGATTGACAAGTCCCTGTACATATAATTGTCCAAGTTGAGCACAGCCAGCTTCATCATTCTCTAAGATCCAATCTCGATTCGATCGATAACGTAGCTCGGTAAAAACTTTGGCTAAATGCGATTGATCATTATCTTAAATAAAATAAAAATACGAATTTCAATCTTGTGAAAAAGACGAGAGCAATATCAACCTCCAATATAATTCCATGGATTCATATCCAAGTGAAGATTGGTTATAGTTGCACGTTCAGGATGTTCTTTGGTTGGTCGAAACATTCCATAACGATCGTGATTTACTAGAAGATTTTCTGTTCCATAGATCGTTGCAAAAGCAGTATGCAGAGCTGGAGTCTGTCGATTCAACAAAATTTGTCGAGTCCAAAGACTCTCCAAGCCCAATATTCCTCCACCTGGAATACCTGATGCACGTCATAGTCTAATGCAAAAGGAAACAAAAATTCAATAGGACGAAGATGAAATAAATCGAATACGACTTACTCTTGCGTCCACAATGATTCATCATGACGTAGTGGTTTTCCCAAAAGAGATTCGATGACGTTCCAAAGATCCGAGATTGTATTTGCGCATTGTTCCTCAGTGAAAACATCAGCAATGACGACAAAACCAAAGCGTTCGAAAAATTCACGCGCTTTTTCAGCCGCCGGACAGCCGTAGTTGGTCAAAATAAAACTTTGAACGAAGTTCTCAGCGTCCCTTGGTATAGTAAGCGGCTGAAAATCGATGTTAGCAGTCTCCATTGCTATGTGTTTCAATGTTTGAAGTCAAATAAAATTGAAAAACAACGAATATATATGTAGAAATTACTTATGTCATGTAGTGAAATTACATAATAAAAAGAGAAAGTAAATATAAAATTCTGGTATGTTTCATGTGATGAAAATACAAAAAAAAAACAAATAATCTCAAGAACAGAGAAAAAAGTCGCATTTTTTCATCAACTAAGATGAAATACAAACCATGGTGGACATATTGTGCAATTTCGGCATTGGTTTTCCTAGAGTTATATGATTGAATTTGTTTGAATTGGATGAATCACATTTCGGTTTAGTGATTCGTTTTGACCCAAGGTGTGAGTGTGGATGTAAATTGTGACGATTTTTGATACATATAAATGTGGTTATTTGCTACCTATTAATGGCTAGTATCGTACGCGAATGTGTTTTATTTCTTGCACAATGTTATGAGATAAGTAAGATAAGAACAAACCAACGACAAAACGAACACGTAACAATAGATGTCAGTATCTAATATTTATATGTATATTTTTTTCTGCATTTTAACTGAAAATTTCCAATCTCCGCCATCCATTACTCACACAGATTTTCGGTTTTCTTTAATGAATCTAAGATGCATTTAAAATCTTCTTTTTCTTCACTTCGCTGGCACATATAGAATACAAGCGACATAAATAAAAATAAATAATAGATTTGAAGTATTACACAATAGATTCGAAAGAAAAAGGAAAATCTATCATAAGACAGAGATAGGCATGTATCGAGCCCGAGTAGCTCGGGCTCGGGCTCGATCTTCAGTTTGTGCTCTCAAAGAAACTTCTTAAGTGTTGTTCCTTTTTATGCATCATAGTCAATGAATGAGAGGGTTACAACGCAGTGATATTGACGGATAACAATAAAAGTCATAAAATACTTATGATGACACAGAATTTAGAAATTCGAGACGGAGATAAATCCATATAGACCAACTTCACGCCTCACCAAGACCGAGCCCGAGCCCGAGGTGCTCGGTTCAGGCTCGAGCTCGGTACATGCCTAACCACTACTTAACTCGCTTTCTTGCATCTTTCCGGATAATGATGTCACTAAAAATTGCAGAAACAGCAACAACTTTTTGTAGCTCCTAAAGCAAGATTTGCGCTGAATATTAACTGTACATTTTAAGAAAAAAAGTCATCTTGAGGGTGCCGGTGTGGGTGTGCGTAGGATGTAGGCGTGGTTGTGGGTGTAGGTGTGGGGTGTGCGTGTGGGTGTGGCTGTAGGTACGGGGTATGCGGGTGTGGATGTGGGGTGCAGGTGTAGGGTGTGAGTGTGAATAAACAGACACCCACACCCACACCCTGCCGCCGAAGGAGATTGAACATGTTCGGGTCAAATGAAAGCTCTCACTGCCAAACTAATAAATTTAAAATATTACGTGTCCATGGTTTGTCTACAGGAACATATTTAAATTTTAAGGGTGTGGGTGTGAGTGTGGGTGTGTGGGTGTGGTGTGGTGTGGCTGGGTGTGGATGTGGGTGTGGATAGTGTAAATAACCGAAACCCACACCCACACCTACCTTTTATAATCAACGAAATATATATTCACATACATGTTTATTTTAAATAAAAAGCCAAAGTTCGTTTGTTTACGGACTAGGGTGTGGGTGTGGGTATGGGTGTGGATATGAATGAAGGAAACGTTCACAGGCCCGCATCCAACCACACCCACACCCACACCCCGAATTAGAGAATCTGATGGGACAGTGATTGCAAGTAAAAATGAACATAGTAATCATTTCGATTAGTTGAATAGCCCCAGACACATATTCATCAATCGAAGTCATTCAGTGTACGTGTCGGATTAGAACAATCATCGTGTTATAACATGAATGAAAGGTGAGAAATAAAGCATTGTTATGGGTGGTCATCAAGGACAAGAAAATAGTCTTTTACAATTGTCCTATCCTTACGGAGTTGCTGTTGATCAAAGGTGTAATATCTAGATTTCTATCGTTTGAATTCATTTAGATCTTCAAATTGATTCGATCTCATGCCTATATCATTGTTCTTGATCGGTATAGTTCATAAAGTCATTATCTGATATTTTCACTATTGATTCATAATCACTATATACCTACCAGAAATTTCGACAATGATGAAGTCTGCATGACATTATGTTCTGGTTCTTCTTACAACATAATTTAAATATTGATTTCACTCGTTCGATAAAAACAGATGATATCGTAAAAACATCAATACTACTTCGAACGAGAGGGATACAAACAGTCGGGTCCATATAGTCGCTAGGAATCGTTTATGAAACAAACTGTTTGTCATTTATTAGAATATCAAATCATAAAACAGAAGGGCACAGTTTGAAATGAGTAACTCAGCATGTGATCGTCCAATCAAATGCAATTCAATAAAATGAATGAAGCAAATTTTTTATTACTACAGAAGAACAATCTTCACAAAAAAAAAAGAAACACTTCTAATGTTCATTTCAAACTTCCATTGGTGGTTCGGATGCACAAAGACTCTCTTGCTGTATAATTAAGTGAAGTAGATGTGCGTAACTCTCACATTTTCTCGAAGACGAGTCTAAATTCAACAGGACTTTTGACAAAGTTTGATTAAGAAAAAATCACGTATACAAGATTTCATCATTTGATTTTCTTTACATTCGACATTCTAAATTCAAGTTCTGAACTCATAGATTAGATAATTGTCTTATTTTTGAAAATGTTTCTTCGACAGTTTTTATCAAAATAAAGATAGTCAAGTGAATAGCAAAATATCTCTGATAATTTGTTATGTTTTGTGTTGGAACAATGGACAAATACAAATTATAATTGAACACATGACTGAATAGATGTAGTACAAGAATAGAATGAATAATAGTGAAAACAGTCAGTTCTAATCAATGTAAAGAATGGTTTTTTTTTGACAGAAATATTTTCATAGACAAATAGTCAAGTTCTTTTGAGCACAATGTCCATAAAATGGAGTCGATTTCCATTTCAAAGGCGTCTTAGCAGATATCCATACTGAAATATCCGAACAGTAGTTGTATTGATCGATCCAATTTGTTTTGAAAAGCCACAGATAAGATAAATGTTTACCGTTGAGTAGCACATGGAGGCAATCGTAATATTCAGCATTTGTTTGAAGTTGAATTTTGAGCGAACGAAGATTAGGAAAATATTTTACAAGTGCATTAACAATATTCAATGAATAAATTTGTCGATTTTCCAAGATCAAATGTAACACATTTGAATAAATGATTGGATGGTTCAACAATTCGAATTTGTCACATAATGTCAGTGTATGAATATGTTTTGTCGGAAGAAAAGGAATCATATTAATATTGGTTGTTTTTAAATGACGAAGTTGACGAAATTCAACATGATCGTCATTAGAGAAATTACATTCGTGTAGAACATTGAGAGTGTGAATGTTTGGAAAACGTCGTGATAGATTTGTACATGGTACGTCAACTGTTAGATATCGAACATTCGGACAAATACTGATTGTATCATCATCCGCCAACATTGATATCTCAAGTTGTTCAAATGACCATGGAATTGTGTAAAAATGTGTACATAAACTATTGGATTTCGATTTATATGTTAAAAACCAACGTTTACTTAGTGTCACAAAAGCCTAAAAAAAATTATAATGAAAATATCATACTTATGAATGAAATTAAGTATTTGAATGGAAGGATAATTTACTTCCTTATTGATACTATTGCCTGTCTGAATAAAACAATGAAAATGACGAAGTTGAGGCATAAATTGAGAAATTAATATTTCAATTTGATCGCCTTCTACAAATTGTTTATCATTACTAATCCATTGTCTTACATCGAGTGTAAATTTTTCGAGTTGAATCAGAGGCATAACAATTCCACGTAAATGATCAAATGTAAATGCTACTTGTTTATCAGTCATTATTCGAAATTCAATCAAATGCAACATAAATTGACGTGGCCAAATTTGTGGTATTGGTGATCGTTTACATACGTCAGATTGACGTACAGTAACATTAAGGAAAATTAAATTAGGTGTCAGACCGTCGAATAGTATAAACAGATCATCAATGGTTTGTAGTGTAATGATCAGTTGTTTGAGATTTTGTTTCGAATATAATTGTTTGTCGAGAACGATACCCTCTTTTATGTTCAATTCAAGTTCGGTGAGTGCATCGAATTTACTATTGAACAACAGATCGCGAAGTTGTTTGATCTTCATATAGTCAATCGACGATTCGTTTTTATTCGATGCAGATTCAACAATATGTAAGGATTGTAATAAGCTAAACTCTTCTATATTTAATTTAAGATTGTGAATGTCTCTCTCTGTACATTCGAATAATGATAAATGGCGAATATGATTAGAATAAAACTTCCTTGATGAACGACACTCATCAAAAAATCTTTCAATCAGTGTCGGCATCGAAATATTGCTTATCGTCAACGTTGATGGTCGAAGACATTTATTAGTGAGTAAATTTATATAAACTAGAAGATCTGTATAGGAACATTTGGACAAATCGATTGTTCGATGATATTCAGATATGCAAGAAAGCATGCGATCGTTATAATTGATAAATGCTTTGAGTATGTGTATAGGAGATAAATAACGACAAATTATGAGAAGAATTTCATCAGGCAAATCGTCGAAACACATTAAATGTTGCACTTGACATTTGACTTCTGACTTATATGGTTTTCTAGTCTTAATTTAAACAATGTTGATAGGCTATTTTGTTTATTATTCATATACTTACATTTTCCTTAGTCATTGTATATTTGCCACTTTGTAAATAATAATAATTACTTAAATTAAATTTATTCGTGATGAACGATTATTCTGTTGAAATTGAAAAGGACATGTTAGACGACCTTTGGTCGCGCAAATACATATTTATAAGGATGGCAGCGATGACTGCAGACAATAGTCATTGTTTTCTTGTTTTACATAGACGGTTACATGATGCATTCAATGTGGACTAACAGCCATTGTGATATCTCTTTCATCGCCAAATAAATCTTGTTGTAAAGCACATCGAGAGAAAATACAGAGTGTCCCAAAAGTCTGGACGGAAAAAAAATTTGAATATCTCCCTTACGGCTCGAGCAAATGAGCTGATTTTTTTATCAATGATAGAGGCTTGTTCAAAGTTTATATCCATAAAGACATGCCTAGAGATTCTCTTTGTCAAATACCACTATTGGTCTTAACCAAAAAAGTTTACTTTTTCACAGATAAGAAAAAAAATAATATACTTAACAAAGGATCTCTCTAAGCATGTCTTTATGAATATAAAGCTTGAACGTACCTCTATCATTGATAAAAAAATCAATTCGTCTGCCCGAGCCCTAGTGGAGATATTCAATTCTTTTTTTCGGCAAAGTGACTTTTGCGCCACTCTATGTATCGTTTTTGTCCTATCTGTGAAGAAGTAATCTTTTTTTGTTGAGACCAATAGTAGTACTTTATAAAGAGGATCTCTAGGCATGCCTTTATGGGTATAAACTTTGAACATGCCTCTATCATTGATAAAAAAATCAGCTCATTTGCTCAAGCCGTAAGGGAGATATTCAATTTTTTTTTCCGTCTAGACTTTTGGGACACACTGTATAATGTGTTCACAATACAAAAATGGAGTACAAAATAGATTTTGTCGAATCATACATGGTTGGATAGAGATTAACGAAGAGATTCTGATTAGTAACGACTAACAAGGCAACATTCCCAGGTGTAGGAGCACTTTTCAGTCAGAGTTTCGCGCATCTTGTAGCCTACAGTAAGCTGTGTCTATGGTAAAAAAAATTCGGATTTCTGACTTGTTTCTGAAGAGATATCGAGCTCCTAGTGAATTTTCTCTATAGGACACCTATATTGGCAGCGAAGCTATACTTTCGAATTTCGACCTGAAATTTTGCCTGCATAAAGATCTCAATTAGACTAACTTGCATAAACAATTTCAGAATTTTTGGACTAAGCCTCTTCGAGATACGAAGCTCTCAAAAAAATACATGTTGTCTATACTATATATGGAAAACGGCCTATATCTTGAAAGCTCCATATCTCGGAGAGGCTTAGTCCAAAAATTCTGAAATTATTTTATGCAGGCAAAATTTCAGGTCGAAATTCGAAAATATGATCTTGCTGCAAAACTGGGATCCTACAGAGCAAAAATTCACTAAAAATGTTCCATCTCCTCAGAAACAAGCCATAAGCACGAACTCTTTTTAACATAGACACATCTCACTAAGGTCTACAAGATGCGCTAAGCCCAGACTTGAAAGTGCTCGGGCACCTCGGAATGTTTCCTTGTAAGTTTTGGCATCATGAGTCTATGTGCTACCACAAAATGAATATATCAAAAGTGAAGAGATAAACGAAAAGTAGTCTTGAGAAACATGTGACTTTGAGTGATCATTCCTCGTACTACTGTATTCGTATCAGTTTTGCTCAAAATTAGTCACTGTTCAATTTGTGTTCAACTTTCATCGAATGTAAGATTCTTGAAAAGTTTAGACATCATTGAGAAGGGTGTAAGTGTCAGGTCTTTATCGAACAAACTCCCGCATCCACATCCACATCCTTTTCGTGTCAATATATGCGAGCGAGAGACATATTGCTCTTTCAGTAAAGTTTTGTCAATAAAGAAAAATTAGAAATGAAGATAAAATTGATTTGAAAAGATTGTTTTATCATTTCTTGAAGTGTTCCACTTCAGTTCGAGGAAGTAAACATGTAACAATATTTGATTGTTGAAAAACTTATCGTATTACATTCATAAAATCTTCTTTAGACAGAAATTGTTTTGTAAACACCACAAAAGTAAGGCAATTATCAGTTGACATAATGGAATAACTCACATTCTCAAACAGTGTGAAGCATTTTCCTCGTATAGAATGCTTCGTCTTGTCAATCAAATTGTATTATGACTGCTTCACGTGCATTTCCCTTCTTTTTTCTCTTTCTGTCGTCGTACAAAGAAAACTGTTTTCTGATTTTTTTTTCTTCTATTCTGTCAAGGACACTTTTTTCTAGTCGAGGCGGTGTTATCGTGTGCTATCATCGTTTCTAGTTGTTTTTTCTTTTCCTCCCATCGTTTATCCTTGCCTTTTTTCCTCTCTCTCTCTCGCACATTCTCATTTTGTCACATTCTATAGATCTAGATGCACAGAAGCAGATATGGGTAATAGTACTCCATCGTTTTTATTTTCATATAAACTGAACTTCACTCGTGAGACACCAAATGATTTTTATTTGAATTGTGATCGAGTTCAAGGTATTATTCAAATTATTACAAATGATAATGACAATGATTTAATCCGTAAATATGGTCCATTATACGTTGAACTCATTGGCGAATTGCATGATTTCAAATCAAATACTCATCAACATTACACAAAAGGTGTTCATATATTCTTTCGAAGACGAGCACAAGTGATAAAGTTACCAAATGACAATCAAAAACTGGTTAGATATTTATTTAAAAGGAATTTTTTGTAGGAAGAAAATCAAGTTCATCGGCTACGAATGTCTTGATTTCAAATCGAACCAATAAAATCTTTGACAGTTGTGTCCAATAGATTCGATAAAATCCGAGAATGAAACTTTAAAGAGCAGTAATTGTAAAACTACATTCCAAGAAAATCCATGGAAAATGAATTTGACTCGTAATTTGAACATATCTATCTTGCAAAGCACAACTTTTGAATGTTGCCGTAAATTACAAGTTTCTATTTTCCCTTTATGTCAAAATGTTGATTTTCTTCTGAATCTTCTCTCTTAATTATTATTGTTTTTTTATTAAGGAAACCACTCGTCTTCGAAGTTATAGATGGGCATTCGATGGTTCATTAGATTCTTTGCTTCCTTCATCATTACCACCTGATGATGAGTGTGATCCATGCATTTGCTATTATGCTCGTGTTTATCTTCGTCATGCTGATTGTACTGATTTTGCTCGAAAATTTTCTTTTCTTGTCTTTACGCGAACACCAAAATCGATTGTTACTCGACAATCGCTAGAGAACAATATCATTGATACAAGTGTACGACATAAAGGTGTGAAATTATACGGTGCACTTCCAAATAATGGACTTGTTGTGCCCGGTCAAACTCTCATGTTACAAATTGAAATTGACAATCCAATGAAAGTAACAATCAAATTGATTCGAGCAACACTCAAACAATATCGAACTATAACAGATCAAGAAACTGATTTTATTATTTTGTCTTTTATTTTACCAGGATTTAAACCGAAAGGATTCAATAGTGAATATCGTCAAAGTACATATGAATTACCAATACCAATGGAAAAATGTCGACTCATGGCGCCAACATCATCTTATAAAAGTGTTCGATATGAACTTCATATTCAATGTTATTTACATTGTTCATTTAATAATCATTTTACATTAACATTACCAATTATTTGTACTACTGATCATCAAAAACCATTAAAAATTATGGACGAATTGAAATCTGTACCTGAAATTCTTCGACGTCTATCGAGTAAACCAGAAGAAAAACCACCACCGAGCTATGAAGATTTCATGGCCAGTGAGATTTTACCCAACTATGAAGATATTATTCATTAATCGTTCTACGTTCTTCATTATTTCGAATATATACATATTTGCAGTACAAACAAATTTCTCTTTTTCAATGATAGACATTAAATACTCACAGAATTATCCACTTGATGATTCTCGAACTTGCTCATAAACACCGATGTACAACTCAGAAATAATTATAATAGTAATAAATCAATTTTATTAATATATATATGTATATAAGTTAAACTTTCATCGATTAAATGGTGTGATTTGAAACAATGATGCAATCTAGACGTAGGATATTTTAAGTCACAATTCGAATTTTTCTCGACGGAGTCGCACCCTAAACGGATAAATGTTTCAAGTGAG